GCTCTCTACCTTGGGTAGTGAAGTTCAATTGTTTTATTTACTTATTTGTTGTTTAATTTACATGAAGTTCAATTGTTTTAGAAAACAAGGTATTCTCTTCACTTAGGGAAAGCGAAGCAGAGCAGATGCATTCTACTTATCTCTGAATACTTAATTTTAATTAAAATAACTTTTAAAATATGAAATCAAGATTTATCGCCAATAAAACGTTAACAAACTAACTGCTTCAACTTTATACGTTTGTGCTGATGTTAACCATACTGTCATCAATAAGGTTAATTCTTAAAATTAGTGTAATTTGTAAGGCTTTATCTTCCACTAAAAACCAGACCCAAATATTTTTCCCAAGAGTCCTCTGGTTAATTCTATTTAATTCATTTGAAATTATTCATCTTTCACACAATTTTAACTAAGTTTGTTGAGGAAAATGGTAATGATTTATTAAATTACCTGTATATATAACTTTTCGATCCTGGTACTCAAAAAGAGACCTCTTCCTGTGCTTGTGTGTTTTTTCCCGAAATCTTACTGTTATTGCTACATTTGGATTGCCAGCACTATAATTGAGCTCAGGGAAAGATTTGGTTTCCACAAGGTTTCCAAACTTTTTGTTGACAAAATGGTGGACAGCTTTTCTGTGGTCTTTGTTTGTATCAGGTTTAAAAGTAAATTTGGAATTTTCTTTTTTTGCATCCAAATATTTAAAAAAGTCAAATGCTTCTTCTTCAGATACCAAGTGACAGAGTTCCTTATATTCAAGATTTGGTTTTACAACAATCTCACTGTTTTTACCTACAGTTATTAAAAAAGGAAATTTCTGCCTAATAGCACTGTGCAGAATAGCCCTCTGGTTTTTGTCAAGGATTCTGCCTAATGAGAATTCAGGAGATGATCCAATTAGCTCAGTTTTAGAATTCCACTTCTCTTTTATATCACAGGCAAAGTGATTCAGTAGTTCGTTAGTTTTTTCATCCAACAAGGTACCTAAATCATCAACTGTTTCTTCTTCGCCTTTGGAAGTTCCATCACTGATAGTATCTTCCCTTTCTGAACCAGATTGATGATATTGATCAGCACCAGAGCACCCAGCAAAAATACTAACTTCTTGGTTGCTTCCCTCTTCAAAGGATAAATTCTGAAGATCAAGTTTTGTCTTTTTGGCAAAGTTATTTGGCTCAGGTAGTACTTTACTAATCAGTTTACTTGGTGCCGTATTAACTAATTGTCCCTGTTCATCAATCTCTATAACAACAAAATCACTTGGTGAGCTTTTTATAGTGCCACAAAATCCAACATGATCAGTAACAAAACACAAAGAACTAAACCGGATTCTAAAATCTGTATCCTCTTCCATTCTTAAATAACAATGCCTACAAAAGAAACAAAGAGGCAGTCAGTTACCCAAAAGAAAAGTTATAGATAACAAGAAAAAAATAAATTTGCAGGATTTATTTTCTTTCTCCCTTTCAATCCTGGTCCCCTTAAAATACAAATTATTTCTATAAATAATGGGCATTTTGACTCTCCTATACCAAGATAAATAGGCAATCTTTTTCTCATGAAACTGATGATTTGCAACATTTCTTTCACCCATTCCAAGCTTCCATCTATTATCCAGAATTAAAATGGGTCCGTTTCAAGTCTGCTTTAAAAATACCATGTGTAGGCCGACAAAGAAGAGACCAGAACACAGACTTAAACAATGATTTGTCCAAACCCCATTCCTGAAAATTTCTAACTTAATTCCAGAGAATTTGTGGCTAGATTTGTATATATTAGGGGTTAGAGATGAGAGAAGGGACTAGAAGACAGGAGGAAATAGTCCAAATTGATAAATGAAACTTGCAATGTGATTATCCTTCAAAATAGGCTTAAATTGGGGCGCCTGGGTGGCGCAGTCGGTTAAGCGTCCGACTTCAGCCAGGTCACGATCTCCCAGTCCATGAGTTCGAGCCCCGCGTCAGGCTCTGGGCTGATGGCTCGGAGCCTGGAGCCTGTTTCCAATTCTGTGTCTCCCTTTCTCTCTCTGCCCCTCCCCCGTTCATGCTCTGTCTCTCTCTGTCCCAAAAATAAATAAAAAACGTTGAAAAAAAAAAAACAAAAAAACAAAATAGGCTTAAATTAATCCAGAATCTTAAACCTTCTTGAAAGCCCAGTTACAAATTTTTACAGACACAAGTTTTCAAGGTTGATGCACAGAAAAATTCCAACCATACAACTGGCATCAGAGAGAAAAAAACCCTTACAGATGTTCTTGAAGCAGTAGATAAGAGAATCCTCTGAAGAAGCCTTTACTCACCCTTCGCATAACCCATGGCTACCATATCAGATAGTGCTATAAGAAAGATAAAATGCCCATGGACCCCATACTACTCAGTTCTGTGTGTTAACTACAATCTCTAGGTAATTTGTCATCATCTGAACCTTCACTCCATTTCTACAATGTATTCTACCAATCTGAACCAATTTAGCAAACCCCCACCCCCAATTATGCCATGTAGAAATCACAGCAAAGTCTCTATATCTTAATTTCTTAGACTAAATGAGGATATATTTATTTTCCTTCTTTCCGTGATTTCCTGCACAGTCTCCTCAGTTTCTTGCCATAACTGAAACCTGGCTATTTCCTCAGGCTTCTTCTCTAGTCTTCTCAAGTGAGGACTCTTTTTCCTTTGACACCCACCTAACTTAGGACCTGGAGATAGTAAATATTTTCTATTTGCCACAGCTCCAAACCATTTATCCCTCCTCTACCTCCCCAAATCCCAGCTCTTTCGAAGCTCATGCCATCAGGCTCTACCATCTGCTATCATCTTCTCTTTGATCCCCAGATGACTCTTCTTCATTCACTGATGCCTTTAGTGCCTCCCTCAATGTCTACCCAGCATGACTTTCACGTCCATCTACATGCATCATCTATTTAACACCACAGTCTTTGATCTCCACCTCAATCCACTTCCACGTCATCTTGGTCATAACCTTGACTTTCTCATCACAAAAAATTACATCAGCTTTAAGCATCTGGCTCTCTGATTACTGTCAAGAGATGACAGTACATGATGGCTGTCCTTTGATCACGCAGTACTTCCACCTCAGTAATTCTTATACATTGTGAAGGCCTCTCATCTGCTTCTACTACTAGCCTACCATAGTCCATTCTCCACATAGCCAGAATGATGATTTAAAAGGTAAATTAAGTCATATCACAATTCTCTTTAAAACCTCTGATCACATTTAGAATGAAATCCAAACTGCTTACCCTGGCTTCCAAAGACTTCTAAGATTCTGGCCTCTGTTTATTCTCCAAACTTATCTTGTATCCTTTACCCATTACCCACTATACTCCCAACCACACCGGCTTTCTTCAGTTCCTTTGTGTTAACTGTTCCTGCTGATTAAATTAGCCCTTCCCCAATGACATCCTCAGAGAGGTCTTCCCTGACTAATATGGTAAAGGAACCAGCAAGGCACTCTTTCACCAAACTCTATTCAATTTTCTGCACAGTATTTCTATCTAATAATTTTCCCTATTATTTACGGTAGACCTCTCACAACTACAATGTTAGCTCTATGGGAGCAAGAACCGTGTCTGCCTAATTGACTAATTATCTCACATTCAGAACAGCGTCAAGCATATAGTAAGCATGCAACCAATACTGACTGTTGAATAAATGAAACTAGTACAAAATAAGAGCTGTAAGAGTGAAGAGGAAGAAAAAAGAGATCACTCCGGCCTATGATAATCAGAAAAGGTGTAATGTGAGAAGTGGCCACCTAAGTCTTCAAAATTATTCAAGAGACAGAAATAAGGTAAAAACGTATAAGTAACATACAAACAAAATATGCAATGTGCCAGGGAAAATTGAACAGTCCAGACACAGGAGTAATGTCTTACAGTACAGTTCTAGAAAATACAGTTTGGATTAGAGCCAAACTGCCAGTGAATGCCCTGCCAAGGACTTAGGATCTATTGAGTGGTCAATAGATGGCTACTGCAGGTGTTTGAGTAGAAAAATGGCACAATCCAAAAAGCTGTTTTAATAAGATGAATAATGGCAATGAGCAGGATGAATGTGATGAAGTATTCCAAGAGTTTCAAAGCAATGTGATCAAGAGCACTGTTTTAGGATTGGCCTTGTAAAGAATAAAGATCTACTCTCTCCCAGTAAAAGCAAGATGTGACGACATTCTAAACTACTAGGATAGGTAGAACTGAAAAGAACGTAATGATCAGGGAATTACAACAACCATCTTATAAAAGAATGTAGCTGAGCTGGAGGGGGCCAAGGAGCCCACGTGGAGTTAAACACAAATGTGCAGTGTTCCTAAACAGATTTCTTGATGCGGGTACAGGGTGGAGAGGGGAGTTTGAGTAGTTTGGCTAACCCAAGACAGGGTAATTGTTGGTTGAGGGTAGATTCTGGGGAGATGTTAGAAATGCAGCAGGTAGTGCTTTTTCCCCTCACGCTCTTTCTTCCAATGCCAACGCTCAGCCGAACTCACTCTTACTTGCTTCCTGTCACCAATTTGCAGAACTAGTCTCCGGCGGTGTTGCCGTCTGGCTAATCCGAAAGTACCCCCCAGACACAGCCAATGGCTCCACTTCTCCCTCCACTTCCCCCTCCTGTCCCAACGCACGATACTAGCCCATGTCGCCCTCCGCTTGCGGGCAAACAGTCGGGGGTCCCATTACTAATCACGTCATTGCCCCCCACAGAAACGCCAAAACTCGCAAGATTGACCCGGTCTACCTCACGTCCACGTTACGGAATTCCTGGGCACAAACCTGTGCGCAAGTCCGGAAGCGCTAAAATACTTAGCCTCCGACAGCGGAGTAATTAAAGGGGCAGGCTGCCACTTAAAGCAGAGCCTTACTCAAGACCCGGAATTTCTCTGCGGAGACGCCAGGACTTGCAAAGAGGAGGGGCGGGGTTTGGACGTGGGCGGGGTCTCGGGCTGGAACTAACAGGTGGGACCCTCCCCGCTCCGCTGCTGTTCCAAGTCCGGGTTGCCTCGCAGCCGGCTCAGCTGGGCGGTGCCCCGGCCGCCCAGGCGCCCCAGCCGCCCTGGCGCCCCGCTACTGGGCAGGTAAGGGATTCCCGCCGTGCGCGCCTTCTTCACAGGTCGTCCAAGATCTGTGCTCCGGCCTCCATCCCTCTGCCGCAAGGTTGTTGAGGGACGGTTTCGGAAGGAAAATAGCAAAGTGAGAAAAGTTAGAGAGGAAGTAGTTTGTGTGCGCACAGCTTGCTCCAGGCTAAAAACTTGGGTGGGTTCCCGAGGTTCAAAAAGTGAATAGGACCTGGGGAGGAGCCCGGGGCGTGGAGAGGCGTCACCAAGTTCATTGTGTGGCTGTGTCAGACCTCGCGTCCTGTTTCTCAACACCCAGGCGTTGTGTTGCGGGAACTAATTTACGAAATGAATCTCTTTTCCCGAGAACCAGGAAGTAAGGCCAGCTCCGGGCAGAGATGCTCGTGGCATGGAAAGCATTCTGGGCCTCCACAAGATTCTAATTAACTTGTCACTCTGGCCTCCAAGTTTCCAGGAAATTAGAAAGTGAAGAGGGCTGTCAGGATCAGGTAAGTACAGAATCAGATGGGAAAAGTATACCTGACAGCCTGGAGCAAGAGAGATAACAAAGGGATAAAAAGCAGACCCTGAGAAAGCGAGAAAATGCCATTTAAAATGGAAACAGATAGCTGTATTTGTGCTTGAAAAACTTACTGCCCAAGGAGCCCTAAGAGTGGAGAATATTAAAGCCAGCCTTTCCCCTTTCTAAGGGTAATCCTTGAAGAGATCGGTCAGAAAGTTCATTATCTCTTTTATTCTCTCAAGCTGAGCACTCATTTGAAGTTTGCTTTCTGCCTGTCCAATCCAAGCTCCTGATCCTGCGGGCCAAACTTGCACCTTACAGTCTTCTCCATCCTAGTAAATGTCAGGAAACGTTCAGGCCAAAAATCTTGGTGCAATCTCCTTGCCCTTCATATCAGCACATAGGATTCTATTTGCTCTACTTCAGAAAATATACAGCATCCTAAGACTTTGCACCTTTTCTGCTACCACCCAAGCCACCAGCACCTCCCACCTGGATTGTTCGTGTACTACTAATTGGTCACTCCCTGCCTCTCCACTCTTACTCCAATATCCTTTATTCTCAGCAGCAGCCCCAGTGTCCTTTTAAGACATGAATATAGAGTGTATGTCTCCATTCTCAAAGCCTCCACTGTCTTCTCACTCAGAGGATAAACAAAATCAATACAAAGGCTATAGGCTCTAGCCTACCTCTCTCATCTAATCTGCTACTTTCCTGCTCCTTCCTCTCCAGACTTAGCATCTCCTTGCTGCTCTCAGTGGGCCCACTCCAGACCTTTACATTTAGTATTCCTTTTGTCTCCAAGCTTCTCCCACAGATATCCCAATGTCTGACTTTCCCATTTCTTCAGACCTTTAATCACATGGCACTTTTTTACTGAGGCCTACTCTGACTACCCTCTTTAAAAATGAAACCCCTTCTCTATTTTTGTCCGCACTATGTAGCATAGTATAGAGTTTATTTGCTTATTGGCTATCTTCCTCTGTTAAAAATATAAGCCCCATGAGTTCAATTATTTTTTTCATATTTTCCTAATGTTTTATCTCTAGGAACTTAGATCAGTATCCAGCACAAAGTAGACTTCAGTCTACTTTGATTTATTTATTTTAGCATTCTGAAATATTCAATATTTCAGCCTGCTTGGGATTCTCTCTCTCTCCCTCTCTTCTCTGCCTCAAAATAAATAAATAAACTTGAAAAAACTAAATTAAATTTTTAAAATTAGTCTTTCATCCAACACAACTATTTTGAGTAGCTGCTAAAGCTCAATTTGGTTGGGTCCCTGCTTAGGAAAGCACACCATCTAGAAGAGAAGGCAGACACATTAAACAATAAAATATGATAATTGTTATGCTGGAAGAGTGACTGGTGACAGTTTGGAGCAAAGGAGATGATTATCAGGGAAAGCCAATAGTGCCTTTTGCATTGAGCTTGAAGAAATCCTAGGCATTTACCTGGTTGTCCTCAAGGTGATTGGGCAGTTATTTTACTGAGCCCTAAATGAATTCACCTTCTGCTTCACCAAAAAATAACGTTGTGTGAGAATTCTCCCTCTCCCTTCAAATATGTCTGTATCCAAACCTCTGCTTCCTCTTTTCAAGATTTGGAAGAATCTTCCTTCTATTCAAGGCTACATCTTCACCTATACTCTATTCACTATCCCTTTTTGTATCTTCAACCAGGCTTAACTCTAAAAGCAAATCTTAAACCAGCAGTTTTCAGGATGTTGTTGGTGTCCCCAAGTCTCTTTCAAGAGGTTTGTAGGGTCAAAATCGCTTATGAGTAAAAGATTGATTCAGAATGCAATGAACTTTAATGAAACAAAGTTCATTGATATGGTTTAGGAAATTATCTTTTATCAAGGTTCACTATAGTGTCAAAGAGAAAAATCTACTTTGTGAAAAGGCTATTAAAATACTGTTTCCAGCTATGTGTCTGTGTGAAGTTGGATTTTCTTCATATATGTCAACCAAATCAATATATTGCAGCAGATTACATGCAAAAGCAGATATGAGAATCCAGCTGTCTTCTATTAAGTTGAACATTAAAGACATTTACAAAACTGTAAAATAATATCACACTTTTATTTATTTTGGAAAATGTATTTTTATCAAAATATGTATGCTAACATGTAATATGTTCATTATTTTTAATCAGTTAATGAATAAGTAATCTTTAAAGTTCTCAGTGTCAGTTTCTAAGAAGGTAACTATTGATAGATCTAACCAACATAAACAAAAACTCTTTGGAGTCCACAGAAATTTTTAAGAGTGTAAAGGGTACCAAGACCAAATTTGAGAACTGATGCCTTCTGTCTCTGTCTCTGTGTCTCCTTCCCTTCAAACCCAGATTTCTTGGAAAATGCACTTTTATCATTCACTCACTGCTCTATAAAAACTGTTCTTAAGTCATCCAGTTTCCAAATCTAACACACCCGTCAGTATTTATCAGACCTCTTTGGGTCTTTTATACCAACCTATCCCCTATTCTAGAAATCTCTGATATGCTATTGTCTTAGTTTTTTTTCTTACCTCCATGGCTAATCAATACTTTTTAAAGGTTCTTCTTTCTCTTCATTTCTTCATATTCTATATGTTCCTAATAGGCAACCTCATATTTACTTGTTGCTTCAACCAACAATTTACTTGTGAACATTTGAGAATGCTCATACACTGAGCATTCTTTACTTAAACCTCTCTCCTAAGCTCCAGACCATATATCTAGCTACTTAGTGCCAAATCCCCTAGATGGTGCCAGAGGTAGATATTTCATATTTAACATGACCATGAACACTTCATTTCCTCTATCATCTAACTGCCCAAGCCAAAAAACCAGGAATCAGCTTCTGGATTTCCCTCACTCTCCTCTCCCTCTAATATCTGATGTGTCGTTAAATTATTTCAATTTGGGCTCCTAAATCTTTGAGTCTTTTTTTGCCTCCATTCCTCAACTTTTTTCAGGCTTTCATTTCTGCTGACCTAGATTATTGCAAAGTCTTCAAACTGGTCTCTTTATCTCAATATACATCCCTTCAAATTTTTTTATCCAGGAGAATCCACTTAACCAAATAAGATCTCATGACACCTTTCTTTAAAATCCTGGAATGGCTTCCTGATAACTTTTAGTAGAAAGCTTAAACTCCTTGTCTTAATATCTGAGGTGCATGATGATTTGGCCCTGCCTACCTCTCCTACCTCTTCTCTTACTACTTAATGACATGCATCCCATGCGCCAGCCATAGCAAACTCCTTGCCTGAGCCTAATCCATGTTCTCCCTGCTATTCCTACTGCTTGGAATTTCCTTTTTGGTTTATCCTCATTCCTTTTCACTCATCCTTCTAATCTCCCACCCCACCTAAATCTGTCTTGATATGTTTCCTTTAGACTGCTTTGGCTTGATGCTCCTTCACTGGGCATCCACACCCTGCACACCCCTCTTGTAACATTTGTCATTCACTCTTTGTATCCCCTGCTGGACTGAGAAGCTTGAAAACAAAGATTTTTCTCCTCTCTGTAGCTCCCATCACTTAGTACAAAGCCTGACATGTTTGTTTTTAATTTTTTTTTAAGGTTTATTTATTTTTGAGAGAGAGACAGAGAGACAGAGCATCAGCGGGGGAGGGGCAGAAAGAGAGTGAGACACAGAATCTGAAGCAGGCTCCAGGTTCCAAGCTGTCAGCACAGACCCTGACATGGGGCTCAAACTCACGAACCCGCGAGATCATGACCTGAGCCAAAGTTGGACCCTTAACCAACTGAGCCACCTGGACGCCCCCAAAGCCTGACATGTTATTTGAACATACGAATATATGAAAGGATATGTCTTGTCTTTATAGAAAAGAGAATGACTCAAACAATGCATTGAGTTATAGAAGCAAGGACATATGGAATGAATTTTGGAGTAAGATACAGATTCGTGTACAAGTCTTCATTTACTACCTTTGTGAAGTAAAGATGTTAAAATTGTCTTCATCACTGTAAGGGTTAAGTGAAATATATGAATTACTTAGCATGGTACTAGACAACAAATTCATTCATTTCTAACATTTATCTGCAATATATACCACGTGCTAGTCACTAGTTTTATATTAGTGAATGAAAGAGCATAGTCCCTGAACTCATGGAGCTTATAATCTGATGGGGGAGGCAGGTACTAAACAAATAAATACATGATTACAGTTACATTGTGCAGTGATCAAAGACAATTAGGTTGAAGGCAGATAGACCTACTTAGATGCCATGGTCAAAGAAGGCCAAAGAGAAGAGAATATAAATATAGAGGCCTAGGATCAGGGAGACATTTGCTTCTTACTCTTTTATAGCTTCTGAATTTTGTACCACATGAATATATTTTTTACTCCAAAATTTAATTATGGTACATCTTAAAGTTAAAAATATAAGAGGATGGGGAGCCTGGGTGACTCATTCGGTTGGGCCTCAACTTCGGCTTAGGTCATGATCTCACAGTACGTGGGTTGTAGCCCCACGTCGGGCTCTGTGCTGACAGCATGGAGCCTGGAACCTGCTTCAGATTCTGTGTCTCCCTCTCTCTCTGCTCCTCCCCCGCTCATGCTCTGTCTCTCTCTTTCTCTCAAAAATAAGTAAACATTAAAAATTTTTAAAAATATATATATATGGAGGGAAGCAGGAAAATAATTGACAGAAGAATATCTAAATCTCTCTGTCTTGATGAATTAGAAGGAAAGGTTGCGGGGCGCCTGGGTGGCGCAGTCGGTTAAGCGTCCGACTTCAGCCAGGTCACGATCTCGCGGTCCGGGAGTTCGAGCCCCGCGTCAGGCTCTGGGCTGATGGCTCAGAGCCTGGAGCCTGTTTCCGATTCTGTGTCTCCCTCTCTCGCTGCTCCTCCCCCGTTCATGCTCTGTCTCTCTCTGTCCCAAAAATAAATAAACATTGAAAAAAAAAAAAAAAAAAGAAGGAAAGGTTGCTACTTGCTAAAAATGAGAGGCATAGAGATCAAATAAAACCACATGGAAAGAGGGTAAGGTGTGAAATAGTCACTAAGGACAATAAGCTGAGAGAAGACAAGTAAAAGGATTAACAGCAGTGTTGAAGGCCCCATGGAAAAGGGGTCCCCATTAATTTGTATTCATACCAGTCCGCTCAGTTACCAGGTTCTCTTAGGTATATTCAGCAATGCTGTTGTACCAGTAAAATTGTGAAATCTATCCCTGGCTGATGCTCTCCAGGGTGCAGTGGCAAAAGAAAAAGGGGAATAAGGAAATAAAGGTTTGCTCTAGAGTGTAAAGTGGTGAACCACAGGGTTTGGCTTAGTAGAGAATGAATTATGATCAGATAGGTCTGCTGGATTCAAATAATGTGGAACATTTGAAAAAGAGATATTATAGTAAAAGTTGACTATTTACCGTGTCTTTTAATGCTACTCAAATTATTTCAGTACATTTTTTTTTTTACTTCTACCAAAGAGTGGTGGTAAATGTTTCATAGTAAATAAATACTAATTGAGAAAAATATTTTAAATTAAAAAATAAATCTCTGTTATTTAATAGATTTGATTCCTGAATATATTCACAGGAATTTTTCCGAAAAAGTAAATTTTTTACTCCTTTGGATAAATTATACTTGGGAAATGTCAGTGTCAGAAAAAGATTCTTCCATTTTTTATTGATAATTATAGGTAGAGAAAGTAAGTAAGAACAGAGGACAATTAAACAAATAAACCACAATTTTAATTTCTTCTTAGGATATCAGTTAGTTGACTTTGGAGTGTTCCTTTATTATGGTGTAATCAGTTGCCAACATTTCATATACTGTAGAAAAATGTGATTTATAAGCTTACAGATGTCATCACTAAAACTACTGTAAAATTTTAATGAGAATTTTCCACATTTTAGGAAGAGAAGATGAATAAACCCATAACATCTTCAACATATGTGCGCTCCCTCAATGTTGGACTAATCAGGAAGCTGTCAGATTTTATTGATCCTCAAGAAGGATGGAAGAAGTTAGCGGTAGCTATTAAAAAACCATCTGGTGATGATAGATACAATCAGTTTCACATAAGGTAACCTATAAAATTCTCTTCCTTTTTAAATTCTTACATCACAATCTAGAATGATGAATAGATGTAAATACTGTCTAATGTTGCAATTCAGAAAGTAAAACTCTCTCTCTCTTTTTCCTCTGTGTGTGTGTATGATTTTTTTATTCCTTCTCCATTATGTTAGCTTGGCTAGTATTGTGATCTTGCAAATAAGTTTTTGGGTTAGAATCAAGATTCCTACTTTTACTATAGTTTTCTGTTTAGCAAGCTGAGAACAGTTCCCTCTGCCTCACACTTGTCATTTCCAGATTGAACATAGGATATTATAAGCATCTCTAGTAAAATTCTAAGTGTATAAATCTCTACTCCACCTTACCAGTGTACTTTGGGAGTTCTTCAAATTAACATTTTAAAGTTGCTTATAAATGTACACATCTATAAACAGAATTCTTAGTTCTTAGGATTTTTCAACACTATCTTCAGATAATTTCATTCTTTGTCTACTTATCTCTGCTTGATTTAGTGTAAAATACAAGTACAGATTTTATTTTTGAAGCTATTACTTCAGCTCAAACCTATATCAAAATCTGTCTTTCGAAGTAAGAGGAAAAGACATTAATTTATGATTTTCAGCATTAACCTAATAAAGATCCCAAAACTTTAACTTCTTAGTCCTTCTAGGAAGTGTTTCCTCATATGAAGGATAAACACTTTAAGTTACTTGAAAGAAGTTTAAGATTAAACCTTGAAAGGCAACTTTCAAAGATAGTTTACTGATACACTATTAAAACCTTCTGGGGGCACCTGGGTGGCTCAGTCAGTTAAGCGGCCGACTTCGGCTCAGGTCATGATTTCGCTGTCAGTGAGTTTGAGCCCCGCGTCGGGCTCTGTGCTGACAGCTCAGAGCCTGGAGCGTGTTTCAGATTCTGTGTCTCCCTCTCTCTGACCCTCCCCCGTTCATGCTCTGTCTCTCTCTGTCTCAAAAATAAATAAACGTTAAAAAATTAAAAAACAACAAAAAACCTTCTGGAGAATGGTTGAAGCAGTGGGGGGGGGGGCGGAGAAAAAGCTCTTCTCTACAGATTAATGGTAACAAATAATTATTGAAAAAATGATAGAAAAGTTACCAATTTACAACCATTCTTCATGCAAGACTCATCAGTGATGCTAAAACGACAAGATGAAAAGTTGTCAATGAACAAGATATGCATAAGATTTCAAAGTATTATCCACAGGTTACTTATGAATTATGAAGGGTAATGGTGCTTTTACAAAGAAAAAATCTGAAGTATACCTCCTTAACCGAGTAATCAAACTTTGGGTCACTAATAATGGTACAGACTGCATTATGTGCCCTCTGGATGTGATACAGTGGGAAGAACATATTGTCACCTATGTAGTGTTCTTACCCAACATTTTTAACCTGAATTTAATCATGAGGAAGTAGTCAGACAAATATAGACTGTGAGACATTGTACAAGGTGTCTGGCTTCCACTGTAAAGCCTGTGTGCATACACATGTGCTCCCGTGCACACACATACAGGTAAAGGGAGAGGGCAAGAACACAAGTGTGACAAAGTGTTATCAACTGGTCAATTAGTGCTTCTAGGTGAAGGGTAAATGGTTGTTCATGGTATTATTCTTTCAACTTTTATGTAGGTTTGAAATTTTTCAATGTAAAAAATTTGGAGGAAAACCAGAAAAAATTGTTACATTTTTGTTAGTTTCCAAACTAATTTTTAAAGAAATAAGAACAAAAAACTGACCTGTTTTTCCTTAATTTAACTAAAATGTAATTAAGATCAAAGGAATAATTCTCCAAGTTCATGTATAGTATTGTATTTCATTAAACAGGAGGGTTTATTGAAAATCATATGGCTGGGGGTGCCTGCGGAGCTTAACTGGTTGAGCGTCCAACTTCGGCTCAGGCTGTGATCTCATGGTTAGTGAGTTAGAGCCCCGCATCAGGCTTGCTGCTGTCAGCACAGAGCCTGCTTCGAATCCTCTGTCTTCTGTGTCTGCCTTTCTCTCTTTCTCTCTCTCTCAAAAATAAACATTAAAACAAAATTTAAGGGGCGCCTGGGTGGCTCAGCTGGTTAAACGTCTGACTTCGGCTCGGGTCATGATCTCACCGTTTGTGAGTTCAAGCCCCATGTCAAGCTCTGTGCTGACAGCTAGGAGCCTGGAGGCTCCTTCAGATTCTGCGTCTCCCTCTCTCTCTCTGCCCCTCCCCAATTCGCACTCTGTCTCTCAAAAATAAATAAACATTAAAAAAAAAATTTTTTTTAAACTCATATGGCTAGCAGAGTTATTAAGTCAGGTAGGGAAGAAATATAGCTTAGTAGGTTGAAAGCAGACCCTTATGTCAAATGAGATCTAAATTTGGATCTCAATTTAGATACAGTTTTTTGGCTGTGTGGCTATGGGCTGGTTATTTTACCTCTTTATGCTTTGCTTTCTCATTCATAATTAGTACTACATTTGTAGTATCTTTGAGAATTAAATGAGTTTATGTGGGTGTATCCCATGGCCCACTGAGCAGATACTCAGTAAGTACTCAATATATGCTAACCTATAGTATAATCACCTTCAGCATCTTTTTCCTTTCTGCCTATCTTCCCAATTTTCTGTAATTCTGGCTGGTTCTTCTGCTGCCCCTTTCCTTTAATACTATAGGAGATGGTATGGGCCAGATAAGGGCATGAGGGAATAATTCCTATTTTCATGTTAAGCCTATTTACATACTAATTTTGTTTCTTTGTTGCTTGCTTTTAAGGAGATTTGAAGCATTACTTCAAACTGGAAAAAGCCCCACTTGTGAATTACTGTTTGACTGGGGTACCACAAATTGCACAGTTGGTGATCTTGTGGATCTTTTGGTCCAAAATGAGTTTTTTGCCCCAGCAAGTCTTTTGCTACCAGGTAAACTTGAGCATGAGTAGGGCATCAACGATTAGGGTGCAAAGGCAAGTGGCAGAAATGGGAACATGTCTTCTTACTTGGACTTTTTTCTCCTAGTAGATGAACTTTACATTTGAGACTCCTTTTCATTCTTTCCACCCTCCCCAACTCAAAAAGCACCCCAGACATAGGGCACTGTGGACTTGCTACTGAGGAGAAGGAGGCCTCGTGACTGGGCCTGAGCCCACCATTCAAGTCAGGTAGTTTTGTGCCAGTAGGAAGTGTAGAAGGATGAAAATTAGTTTTGGGGTGTTTTTGGTTGGTTGGTTGGTTGGTTGGTTGGTTGGTTGGTTGGTTTTGTTTGTTTGTTTTTAGCTCTTGATTTTCTTTACCCTTAACCTCCACCCTCATGGGACTCTGTGATCATGATATCCTTACATTGTATTCTGGTGGGTTACTGTCTAGATGCCTTCCTAATAGCCTTATTTCCCTTTGATGCCATTTATGCTAGCAGTTGTCACTTTTCAGTGTGCAATAGAATCCCTTGTTCTTGTTAAACAGGTAGCTTCCTGGTTGTATCAGAATTCTTGACTTGGGTTAAGGTCTATGTTTTTAAACAAGCACTTCAGTGCTCTGATGTAGGTGGCTCATAGACTTTTTGAAAACATCGCCTTACCCTTTCTAATCACCTTAACCCCAAACTCACAAATTCATACTAGGTAGCTTATCATGTGTGCTATGAGAAAATGGGGTTGACATGTGGAAACTGAAGTGATGTCAAATGAACCAAGTTCCTAGTTTAACTTTTGGACAAACACTTTTCCGTATTAAAGAACAACTTGTGACTTCATTTGGCAGATGCTGTTCCCCAAACTGTTGATACACTACCTGCTAAAGAAGCTGTAACAGTTCCGCAGAAAGAAATGCCTCTCTGTGGCAAAGACAGGACATTTGTGTTACCTGTGCAGGATCTTGAACAAAACTATATGCCCCCTGACTCCTCAAGTCCAGAAAATACAAGTTTAGCAGGCAGTGATACACGTAAGTAACATATGCAGTGCTTTCCCCTGGCGGGTTTGTCATTAAGCCCATCACTGCTTTGAAATAAATCTCTCCTTTTGTTTGTGCACACTGGCAATAGCTCTTTGGTGGGTTTTCTTTTTTTCCCTCCTGACCTATTAAGCACCATCTTCATTGTATTAGTGTGTTATCAGTGAGTACAGTCAACAGAATATACAAACAACCATAGAAATATGAAAAAATGTATAAATATTTACATAACTTGAAAAGGTCATTTTGTAAAGAAAATAAGTGACTAGAGTTTTGGGTGGAGGACCACCAAACAGAATTCTCAAGATAAAACTTAAATTTTTAGTTTAAAATATAGCTTTACTCTCTCCTATCCTGTCTAATCCAAAGTTTAAATATTTGTGTATACATGAAATAATCAAGTTGAGAAAACACTGAAGTTATTAAAACCAATATCCTTTTTTATTGAAGCACTTTTTTTTCTTATTTCATTGACATTATAGGTTTTCACAGCTTTTCATTTTATGAATTGAAGAATGTCACAAATAACTTTGATGAAAGGCCCATTTCTGTCGGTGGCAACAAGATGGGAGAGGGCGGGTTTGGAGTTGTGTATAAAGGCTGCATGAACAACAAAACTGTAGCAGTGAAGAAGCTTGCAGCAGTAAGTTACATCTTTAGGAGTAAAAAGAATTAAAGGAAAAAGTTGCTTCCTAGGGTGCTCTATCTTAAGCTTTAAATTAGTCCTTAGGAAATACATTATTTCAGAGCATATTTTCTTTAAACATCTTCTAAGCTGGTGGTTCTGAACACTTAAAATTTTGTTGAAAGCTATGGATCCTGTCCCTACAAAAATGTAGTTATGGGCATACACATATAATTGTATATATAATTTTGGAAGAATCACAAAATAAAGTTGAGAAGCCCTGTTCTACATAGTGCTTTTATGCATAATCAAGATTAAAATGGGAAGACACTAAGAGAATTTTGTAAAAATAACTTTCTTATGTTACTGTTCTCATTTAAAAATGAAGTTTAAAAATTATACAGTAAGAAAAAAGATTGAAAAAATTCTTGTCTAGATCCCTCATTCCCATTGCTACTAGAGTGTTCAGCATGTAGTTGATTTGTTATATTATAAATCTGTTATTATGTTTTAGAAATATCCATATAATACATATTTATATGATAAAAATAGTCACCCATTGTCACATACAGTACAAATACTTTTGCAGGTTTTGTTGTTCTTTTTGCCTTCAGATTTGCTTATGTTTTCTTACAGCAAATTTTTTCTTCAGAATGTTTATACAATGAAGTCTCACATTATTTCATTTTGTTCCTACAGTAACTGAGACTTATATGGTTATATGGTTTTTAAGGTTTTTTTCCTTCTGCTAACTAGCCATAGGACCTTGAACAAATCAGTAATATTTCCAGTTCTCGGTTATTCTACAGAAGGGAGAGAATAATGCCTTACTATTTTAAAGAAAGCAAGATCAGCCAGGCAATCGCTTGTGCCTCCTTCTAGCTTTAGGAGCCTTAAGGTTATCATGTTGTATTATATTACATATTATTTTTTCAGATGGTTGACATTAGTACTGAAGAACTGAAACAGCAGTTTGATCAAGAAATAAAAGTTATGGCAAAGTAAGTTAATTTGACAGTGTGGTATAATGGAAAAGAGCAGGACAAGAAGCAGGGGGCCTGGTTTCTTACCCAGAGTATGCCATGAACTAGTGATATTTTCAGATATGTAAAATTAAAATAAAGGGTTCAGATTAGAGGAATTGAAAGAATTTTGACTCTATAATTCTGTGACTGCATATGCTTATATGCCTGTAGATAAAACAGCAGTTATTATTTTAAATCATAGCAAAGTTACAAAGGATTTCAAATATCTTCCATTATCCTCTGCTGCTCCCAAAATTCATGACAGATAAATTATAGAGATACAAAAAAAAAAAAAATTATAGAATAATAGGCCCTTAGATAACAACCCTAAACCAGGAAAAAGTTATATGCCAGAATGCTTAGAAAATTTTGACCCAGTATGCTTGAAAATTGTTGGGTGTCTTCAGGAAGAATAAGGGAAACAAATCAGGAAATTATTCTAATAATTGTAGTGCAGTGTATTTTATGTGTGTGACCTCATTTAATCCTCATAAAGGTTATTGTAACCTCCCTACCTTTTTTTTTTCATTGAGATTTAGAAACATTAAGTAACTTGCCCGAGGCCACATAGCCAGTAAAAATCAGATCTGCCTTTCATATTAGGATCTGATTCCAGAGCTTGACCTTTTTTCTTTTTACTTTTTTTTAAACGTATTTTTTTAATATTGAAATGTAATTGACATACAGCGTTCTATTAGTTTCAGGTGTACAACATACCGATTCGGCAGTTCTCTACATTACTCAGTGCTCACCACCATAAGTGTAGTCACCCTCAGTCACTATACAATTCTAATGAGATTTACCAGTTTATACTCAGTTACACCCATTGCTATAAATTACCGATTCTGGTTGCTTAACCTCAAGAAAGAAAGAACAGACTGGAATTAATTCAGTGACAGTAAAAATAATGCATACTGATTTAAAAAAAAAAAAAAAAACCTCTTTCAGGATTTTGTTCCCCCTACTCTAACACCGACTCTCCAATCCTAAAAGTAATTTGTCCAAAGTAGATAATCTACGAAATACGGGAATATATATTTACAGTAATAAAAATCATCCCTTAAATATATCACTCAGAGATAACCATGACTAATATTTTGATGTACTTGCCTCATGATGTGTGTATACGATTTTCCCATGTCATTAAAAATAATTTTAAAACATTTTGTTATCATACATTAATTTCAAGGTATTATATGTTAATTATTTGGCATATATGATGATTATATTTTATTTAACCATTACCCTACTAGGTTAATTTCTAATTTTCAACATTACAAATTAAAGCTCCATTAAATCTTGTTGTACATAAATCTTTAAATGCAGCTCTGCATATTTCATCAGGTAGAGTCCTAGAAGAATTACTCATTCAGAATTCATGAGCTTCTTAAAAACTTTTCAAGTACATGTCCAAATAAGGCTTTATAAATAGTGATTTATACTCCTGCCAGCAATGTATTACAATGTCCAATTTCACCTTTACCTCACCACCGTTGAATATTATCACTGTTTTTTAACAAGTACCAATTTTTGGATCTTACTAGCAAAATAACCCTGGCCAAGTTTCTTAACAGTCTATTCATTAGTTTTTTCATCTATAAAATGGGATAATAGTGTTTACTTCATTAAGTTATTGTGAGACTTCAATAAAACAAAGCAGGTAAATCATTTACTGCAGTGCCTTGTATATAGTATAAAGTCATCAAATGTTGCCAACTCATTTTAAAAATGTGCCAGTTTGGTGGAAAATAGAGCACTTACTGTTTTAATTTGTACTTCTTAAAATATTTATGAGGACAGACTGATTTCAAATTAAAGTCTGATTTGAAATAATGAAATGTCAGAATTTTAGATGATATTGAATCAAAATGAGTAAGCACGTGGATGGAATGTTATCATGTTCTAAGTATATTTCTAGGCTCTCATGTATTTGCTCATTCAATTCTCAGAGCATCCGTGTTATGTAATCGGTATTACTATCCACATCTGGTAAAGTTGCTGAAGTTCAGTGAGGTTGTTAACCTGTTAACTGTTAATTTGGCCTATAGGTCAAATATCCAGAGGGTGGCAAAGCTAGGCTTTAAACTTAGGACTTTGCCCACTTTTCTTTCTACTTTGCCTTGGAAACCTAAGGTTTTGTTATGTTTCAGCTCTCTTTAGTTTTATTCAAGTATATAAAGAAACTCAAATTAGGTTATAAATAACATATCATTAAAGATCAGAAATGTGTAAATTAGATGTGGTTAAAGATCACACGTCTATAAATCAGTGCTTTGGATATGTTAAAAAGTTCTTGAAAAGATTGTCATACCAGTTTCAGCAGACTTGTTGAAATCTTGCCTGTACTATCATTGAAAATTGTGCTACGCAAAGGTAAATATCAACCCAAGTCCTTAACCAAACTGTCACAAGTTCCAAAGTTCTAAAGTATTGAGCTTTTACTATAAAATGGAAAAAGGGGTTGCTTCTAATGTTGATCAGTATTGTCTGAAAGAACTGTTTGCAGAAAATTATAAGCGGTTGTAATAAATATACATACTATAAACATACGTATTATAATATAATGATACATAGCATATCAATATTTTCTTACTCCTTTTTTTCTGTTAAAGTTCCAAATTGAATAACCTTCAACCTACAGCTGAATGTATGTATGTATCATAATAATTTTGAGTGCAAAATTATTTGTCGTAGGTGTCAACATGAAAACTTAGTAGAACTACTTGGTTTCTCAAGTGATGGAGATGACCTCTGCTTAGTGTATGTTTACATGCCCAATGGCTCATTGCTGGACAGGCTGTCCTGCTTGGTAAGATATTTGTTCATCATATTGCTTGGCTTTCTGTTTATGTGTTGGAATATGAATATTCACTTTGTGACAAGGTTATTTGAACCACATTAATCTTAATATTTTTCTTGTTCTTTGAAAATTATACAGCTGATAGGTAAACAACTGGGATTGCCATTCTATTAGGCAATAATCTTAAACATAAAATTATCAGTCAAGACTAGTCTTTGAAGATGCTCTTATATATTTTTATTGTCAAATAAGAAATGGTAACTCCGGTTTGATCTTATTGAGAGATTATTTTTGAACAGTTTTTAAAAATTGCAATTCTAAATCTGGGTGATATGATATCATTTTCAGCAGTTGCTGAGAAAGTTGTTCTTTTTTTTAATGGGTTGGTTTCTTACTTTATAAGGATGATACTCCACCACTTTCTTGGCATATGAGATGCAAGATTGCTCAGGGTGCAGCTACTGGCATCAGTTTTTTACATGAAAACCATCATATTCATAGAGACATTAAAAGGTAAATGCTACTCTTAAAAAGCTTTTGGAGAACCATCTTTAAAAAATAACTTGCTCTAGGGGCGCCTGGGTGGCTCAGTTGGTTGAGTGTCCGACTTCAGCTCAAGTCATGATCTCGCGGTCTCTGAGTTCAATTTCAAGCCTCGGGTCAGGCTCTGTGCTGACAGCTCGGAGCCTGGAGCCTGCTTCCCATTCTGTGTCTCCCTCTATCTCTCTCTCTCTCTCTCTCTCTCTCTCTCTCTCTGCCCCTCCCCTGATCATGCTCTGTCCCTCTCTCTCTGTCAAATATAAACAAACATTTTAAAAAAATTTTTTTAAAGAATAACTTGCTCTCACTCTTTCAATTCATATTCATATGCATGTCTTAACTTATGGCACCCCATGAAAGGTCTTCTCATTAAGATGTTCTATAATTTCCTTTATTACAAACCCAGTGATCTATTTTTAGTGCTCATCCTACATGGCCTTTCTTTTTTTTTTAATAGCATGGCATTTTGTTTTTCTTGACCACTTTTACCTTGTCAAAATTATTTTCGAGGTCACCATTATTTTCTGAATCACTTTCATCCTCCATGGGTGCATTTCAGGTCTCTTTCTTCTTACATAAGTAACAAATATTAATTGAGCACCTACCATATGGTAGGCACTGAAGATAATATATTTAGCAAAAGTAGCACTTGTTGCATTTGACATCAGACGAATGATCACAAGATCATAAAAAACTTTAGTGTGCAGTATACAGTATTTAATATAAATATTAGTATAAAGAAGTGTTCTCTGAGGATGTGATATTTTAGCAGAGATCCAAAGAATGAGTGGGAAATAAGTGGGCTCAAGTTGAGGGTGGCTAAAGAAGGTAGGGAAAACAGCATTCTGCATTTGTGAAACCAATGTTGAGAGGGAGCATGGGGTCATGATGAATTAATTACAGGAAGTGAAACGAACACAGTTATAACTGAAGTGCAGAAATGGAAGGAATGATTGATACAAGATAAATTTATAGAAATCAGCAAGGAGCTAAACCCTGTAGGATTTAATAGACTAAGGTAAGGACTTTATTTTTATCATCAAATAACCAGATGCCGTTGAAGAATTATAAGTAGGGATGTGGCCTCATGTTTAAGTTTTGAGAAGGTCACTTTGACTCTCAGTGTAGAGAACAGTTTGTAAGAAGGGAGAGTTAGGCTTTCACAGAAGTCTTGGTGATAGCTGTTCATATCAAAAGAAGTGGGCAGATTTGAGAGATTTAAGATAGCAGAACCTGCTGATATCTTGGCTGCAGAGGGGTCAGGAAGAGGGACATGTCAGGAATGACTCCTGGATTTATAGCTTCCTGAATTGCATTCTGGGATGATGTGTGGAAGAGGACCAGGTTGAGGGTTGAGAATATGAATTCTCTTTTGTACATGTTATGTTTAAGATTCTCTTAAGATATAGAAGTAGAGATGTTAAACAGACAATGTGATATACAGATTTGGACCTGAAAGAAGTCTGAGCTGAAGACATTAAATTTGTGCATTACTTGCATGTAGGCGATAATTGAAGACCTGTCATATGATTGTATTCACTTAAGGAGAGATAGAGATTAAGAAAAGGTCCCAAGATTTAGTCCTAAGGAACTTTAAGACTTGATGGCCAACTAGAAGAGCATGATCCCTAAGGACTCTAAGAAAATAGGCATAGAAAGGTAAGATGAGAACCAGGAAAGTGTGGTATCCGTGAAAATAAGGAAAGAGAGCATTTCCTAAGAAGTATTAGTCAAAAATATCAGTTGCTTTCTGGAAGTCAGGATGAGGATTGAAAATAACCATTTGATTAGTGCCCTGAAGGTCATTAGTATCTTTACAGAGCTCTGTTTCCACACGTAGCAATTGGGCAGAATTCAGCTTGTAGTTGAGGAGAGAGAAAGCTGGAGAACTGAGATGTGAGTGTAGACAAGTCTTTTAAGACATTTGGATAGTGAAGAATGATCGCTGAAAATAATATGTCACTCAGGAAACCTTTTTTTTTAGATGGTGAAGACTAAAGCATGCTTTTATGCCTGTGGGAAGAGGGAGATGATAAGTAGAAGAAAGAAGAAGATAATTTATAGAGTAAGGTTCCTGAGAATTTAGGACGGAGTCCAGATAAAGGGATCAAGCTTGGATGACAGGACAGGCACTCTCTCTCATCCCTTACATATTGGTGCATTTCCTCATGTTCTCACCTCCTGTCTCTTCTGTTCTCACAACGTATTCTTGCTGACTGACATTATATTGACTTCACCTACTATCTGTTTGTGGGTGACTCTATCATCATCCGTATCATCAGCCTCCAATCCTATATTTTCAGTATCTCCAGGCCAAAGATACCTCACCTGGATGTCCCACAGCAGCCTCCAAGTTAACATGTCAGAAATCAAATTCATTTTCTCTTCCAAACCAATCTTCCTCCTATATTCTCTTCCTGATTAAATGAAGTCACTATTCATCCTATCTCCCAGCTAGTCTTTCTCATTCCTCATATCAGACTAATTACAAAGTTCCTTTGAACATGCCTCAAACTTTTCAGCTCCTTTTCAACCACAATGTTCTTTCTTTATCTAGACTCTATCTCTTATTTTATTACAAGCTTTCATGGTCAGCCTTTAACCAGTCTGTACCAGTTCTCTTCCATTCACTACTACATTGGCCAGGTAGTGTTCCTAAAAATCAGGTGTAATAGCGCTAATTCATTACTAGGAAACTTTCACTGGCGTCCTGCTATCACAGAATGAAGTTCATATTCTCTCCATGTTCCATGGGCACCAGCTTCTTGAAATTGATCACATGCTTTTGTTTTCATCACTATGTACGTATTGCTCCATTTGCCAAAATACCTTTTCCCCTCATTTAACCATCACCTTCTAACAATCCTTTAAGCACACTGTTTACCCTGTCTTTAGAATTTTCTCCAGTTCTTCCAGGCATTTAGTTGCTCTCTCAGCGTTTTGTACATAACATCACCATTGTGGAATATTTTTTGGATTTTTAAAATTAGGTATATACCTTTGTCACGGACAAGATTTGAAAACTCCTCCTCTATGCAGCACTGAGATCAAATACTATTATACATAGCAAGTCCTTGATAAAGTTTTATTGAATGTGAGTATGTGTGTATGAGTGAATGTGTGTAATGAATGAATGAACCTTTTAGCCATGTTCTTTCCTCTTTGAAAGTTATCAGATAGTACAAAAAAAGAGAGAGAGGGAGAGAATAATACCTGAACCTAATATAATACTTCATGTTAACTATACTGGAATTAAAATTAAAAACTTAAAAAAAAAGAATAAAGAGATGAATAATTAAGATACTTTGTTTGGAAATTTGTTCTTAAATGAGTTGGGAAATGTTAGGAAAGGAATTTAAGACTGGAGCTTTAGGAGACTGAGGGATATTTTCCCAAAATAAATTATTTGTGAAACAATGAAATTATCTCTCACTAATGTGGACAGTTTTATTTCATTTATATTCTTCTAAAATTTTTCCTCAAGAAACAAAAAGGAAAAAGAAGACAATTATTTCTCTTTAGCTTCAATCTGAAGTCTAGATTTGTTTACACGAATTTCAGGCTTTTATGATGTGTATTATAAAATAGTCTACTCTGTAAATATGTACGTATGTTCATACACCTGTTTGACTTGCTTGAAAAGAAAAATATTATTTTCTTCAAACTTTACTTTATTTCAGTGCAAATATCTTACTAGATGAAGACTTTACAGCCAAAATATCAGACTTTGGGCTTGCACGGGCTTCTGAGAAGTTTGCCCAAACAGTCATGACTAGCAGAATTGTGGGAACAACAGCTTATATGGCACCTGAGGCTTTACGAGGAGAAATAACACCCAAATCTGACATATACAGCTTTGGTGTGGTAAGTTTCACATATATAATTCGTAACAATAATCATTCTGGCTATAACTGTGAAGTTGAAGTAGAATATTTTGAACACACCTGTCTTTCTTAGCTCTCTTATGTAAGTATGTATATTGTTTACTTTAACCTTTAGTTAAACGAGAAAGTCATAAAAGCTTCTCCAAATTTGTAAACTTTTAAATTGGTTTCTGAAGTTACTGTAAGAAATGACTTTTTTAGCACACTATCCTCACAAATTAGTATGAAGCTTAAATTAGTGCATAAAGCAAATCATATACAGCATGTATTTTACTGTCAGTTTTTAAATGAAATATTTTTTAACAGATGTACACTTTGGCATTTTCTGATCTACTGGTCTGTTCCTAATAACTTTTAATATGGAGTGAGTGGAAATGGTTGGAGAAGTTAGGTGCTACTTCATCTTATTTTTGCGCGTATGTTTCCTATGTGGAAATTTAACTTCATAGCACTGTGTTGTTAAGGCACAGAGTTGTAGGATAGGCCTAAACTTTAGAAAATAATATTCTAAAAGCCAGAGACAATTATTCTTGTGAAGAATCCCCTGCAAGACAGGGGACAGAATGTCTAGAATACATAGTGAGTTGAGCTGATTGTTTAGTAAGTTGACAATCGAAAAGTACTGCTTGTGGGGATTGCTGGAACCCAAGGTTTCTGTGAGGGAATGATGGTGAGAAATGACCACAGCTCATGTCCTTTCTGCTTTAATGCCTGAAAGGCATAATGCAATGTGTGGAAATGATTAATCAGATTTCATAATCAAGATCCATATTCTGTCTAGTTTCTATATGTTGTCTTGAGTGTTACAGTAATGGATCTTTTTTTTGTCTTCATAGGTTTTATTAGAAATAATAACTGGACTTCCAGCTGTAGATGAATACCGTGAACCTCAGTTATTGGTAATTGAAAGACTCATTTTTTCCAGTCCTTTTCTTTTGCATTTATAATCTAAATTTGTATGGGTAAGTTTGGCATCTAGATATGTCACTTTCTATTGGCAATTTTTCCATTGGCAATTACCCAGTGGCATATGGAAAAAGCATAACAGACTTCTAATCTCAGTTCTGCCATGAAGGATTTGTGAAGCTTGGTAAAGTCACTTATATATTCTATGTTCTGGTTTCTTTGTGGGTAATATCAGAATAGAACTATATAATCTTTTAGGTCTTCTCCAGTATTTTGTTGTTGTTGTTGTTACTTTCAGGATGATTACTAACAGACTTTTCAGCTCAGAGAGAAAAAACAATATTGCTTCCTTTCACATTTGTATCAGAATAGAATTATTGGTAAAATTTGCTATCTATTTCTATTATGGAGTATTTTATTTTTATTTTATTTATTTGTTTGTTTATTTTTTATTTGAGGGAGAGAGAGCAGTGAGGGGCAGTGGGAGAGAGAGAGAGGGAGGGAGAGAGAGAAGGAGAATCTTAAACAGGCACAACACTCAACACAGAGCCCAATGTGGGGCTCAATCCCACGACCCTGGGATCATGACTTGAGCCAAAATCAAGAGTCGGACGCTCAACCAACTGAGTCACCTAGGCACCGCTATGAAGTATTTTAATTATAAAATTATGATAGAAAACATTACCTGTGTATTATATTCGGCATTCGTTGGCAATTACATAAATAGACTAACTGAATGCTAAAGTTATGAGAAAATTATGCCTTGCCCCTTTTTTCCCCCATATAGTAAATTTTAAGAAGTTAGAGGGTCTTTTTATAAAATTAAATATTTACAAAAATCTTTTGTAAACTAAAGATTACAGAAATACTATCATGTATAAGCTTTTCTTAAAATTAAATATCTACTCTGACTTTCTTCTAATTTATGTGTTCTAATGAGACAAACCAGTGTGAAAAATTCAGATAATACATGAATAACAGATTATTTCCCTATGGAGATTAGAAAGTCAAAAGCTATGTTTGCTCAAGAGTTTGGTATCATACTCTTTTAAGAAAAGCCATAAGTATGATATCTATATATTATAATATTGTTACTGGTGTCCCTTAATAAAAAGTACATTATAAAGCTTTCCATGGTTTCCCGGATATGTACTATTCCAGTATTATATATTATATAACATTTCGCATTAAGTTATATTTACAGAACATAATATTATTGTGAAAAGTTATTATTTGTATAATATATATTTATATTATTATATTATCTACATAATAATTATATCTTCTATATAATATATAGCTATATATAGCTATATATATGTTATTATAGTGTATGTACATTACTTACTGTGTGTTGGACATCAGGAAGGAAGCCTCAGCTGCAGATACAATGTTTTGGAACCATTAGTGTCCAAGTGTAGATAAAGCTTTGGGTGTGGATGGGATTATACAGAGAAAGTGTATAAATTAAAAATACAGGGGTGCCTGGGTGACTCAGTGGGTTAAGTGTGCGACTTCAGCCCAGGTCATGATCTGAGCTTCGTGGGTTTGAGCCCTGCATCAGGCTCTGTGCTGA